TTTTCAAGTCAAATTGAGCAAGATCATCATATCTCGAACTTTGCATATAAAGTCATGAAAAAGTAAGAAAGAAACATTGTGAATTTTTTTTTCTAATATAACACACTAAACTACAAAAGCAGTAAAATTCAGATCAAATCTATAATTAACTACAACTTATAAAATACTATAGTCCCTGGCAACGGTGCCAAAAAATTGACCTTTTGAAATCCCGCAAGTACGTGGTATCGTAATCAAGTAATAAAATGATGAATAAATTGTCGAACCCACGAAAACTACGTGTTTAATCTTATAGTTAATAATATTATTAATCGAATAGCAAAAGTAATTTGAGTTTATCTATGCTAATTTTTAAGTTTTTAACTAAGTGAAAGCAAGTAAAATTGGTTTCAAATATGTACCGGAATTGTAAATTAATGAATGAAGGAATATGAATCTTGATGTTCTTGAATTATTTCAAAGCAATCTCGATAAATCGTCAATAATCATTTTGCTTCTTTATTCCACATATTCCATGTTTAATCTCCAATTGACGAGTTCCAAAACTTCGCCTTTGAAATTCTCTCACAATATACGATTTTGCCCCTCTTTTATAACGAAAATTGATGGAATATTGCAGTATGAGATGTGTATGAGAGATGGTTCGTGTTGGCTTCCTATGTTTTGTATTTATAGATGTGAAATTAGGTAAAAAAATCATGGAAAAAAAAGTGGTTTCCATGTTGGAATGAAAAAGGAAACATGCCCATTTGCCGAATTTTGGTCGGTTCGAGCTAACCAAACTAGAATTTTTGAGTATTTAGTAAGTGGGATCGTCGGGTCTAAATTTAATTATGAAACCATATCGGTTCGGTTCAATTCCATTCCATTTGGTCCCATACCATAATTAAAATTTTAAAATAACACTGCATTAATCTAATTAATGGTATGTTCAATCTTAACTCTTATAACAACACTATATTAATACTTACAAAATAACGTAGTTCAATTTGAAAATATACAAATAACAAGTAATAATAAGGTCCATTCACCAATGTATGCAAATTACAAATAAGGGTAAATTAGAAAAATTATTTGAAAAAATTGCTTTTTCAATAACATTACATAAAATTTCTTAATTCATATAAAAAAACAAAATTAGCCTATATAAATGGGACGGAGGGAGTAGTTGGCAAGTGAAATAGAAAAATGATATTTTTGGACTTAATTAATTAGTTAACAAATGAAACAAGGAAAAATTTAAAATAATTTGGCTTGTTTAATATAAAAAAATTAAAAATTAAAGAGATTTAATTCTTATTCGGTTCTTCAATTCTTGGTAAAGAACCGAAAGTCGAACCAAATTCGTCAGTTCTGATACCTGTTCAAGTATTTTACTTAAGAAAAACTGTTCGATTCGGTTCAAGAGTTTTGTCCAACCCTAACTACGGTTACTATTTTTGTTTTGTTTTGTTTTGTTTTGTTTAAAGATGATGTATATTTGCCATTATACAAGGCTTTATTAAGAAAATGATGTATTTCGCAAAGAAAAGGTGTATTCTGCGAAGTTTAGGCCATCTAGGGGGATTTTTCACCAAAATGAAAGGATATGTGGTGTATGATCAATTGGAATTACAGTAGAGAACTTATAAGTTGCAGAAGAAAAAGCAGAAGGCGATTACTACTAGGTACAAGTTTTGGGGGGGTTGATGTAAGCTGTTGCAGAGGTTAATTGGTAAATAGGTTTGGCCTATTGTGATGTCAATCAAGTGGGAACTGGTGTGGTGTATGTATTATGGTGGTGGTCATTTCTAACGAACAGTGGTTGTTGACTGAGTTGAACAACATTTTGATGAAGGAAATTCAGGTTTTAGTTCTGATACCAAATTTGATATAGTATCAATAGAAGAAGCTGAATTGCATGGAGATAAGTAGAAGCAGTAGAAGAAAGGGGGAGAAACCGAAGAGAAAGTGGGAAAGAGAGAAGACATGGTACGTGGGAAACAATTCACTTCATTCATCAACTGCCTTCCAAGTTCAATTACGAACCATATAAATAAAAAACCTAAAGTCAAGGGCTTGGGTCAGCCCATTAATACAAGCCCAATTACTAAAGCATAAATAAAAGTCCATAATAACTAGAACAAAGATATAGATGTCCTCATCAATACGTGTATTCCACATTAGAGGTAAAGGACATGGAGGTTTTGCACCAATCACCTTATTTTAAATTAAATAATATACATTTAGTTCTCTCTATCAACTTAAACTTTTTGATAAAGTGTGTTGATGTTGAAATTTGTATAAACAAATAGTCAAGCCAACTTAATGGAAAATAAAGTTCTTATTAATGGAAAATGATAGCGAAATTTCTATATTACAACAACAATCAAGTTTGTGTTTCCTCCAATATATGAGATATTTGAAATATGATTTAAAGATACTAAGAGATATTATAATGCCTCCAAAGGAGTTGTCGTCCCCCTTCCTTTTGGCTTGCATCCCCTATTTATAGTAAGAAATATGCATGTATTCGACCTCTCACGTCTTGTCAGTCGTAAGAAGTACATTTGTTGCCCCAGTTGGATTGGTAAACAAGCTCAAAATGTCAGGTCATCATGAATTAATCATCCATGTGGCGCCAAGTAATTAATGAATTACTTAGGGAAGAGAGCTAAATCACTTGATTTGTAGATTCTGCAGATGCTGACGTCGAAACGTTACATATGCTCTCAGCTGATTGGATATTGATATATTTCGCCAGTGATCTTCAATCATCACGTTTCTTTAAATCTTGATAAACTTCTCATACAACCAACAATGGCTTACCTAACTTCAATGGCTGGCCTCGGATCACAATTACCGACCGACCTCACATTAGGACCTATTACACTTCCACAGTAATTCGAACTCAACCGACCTCGGAGGTCGGACATCAACAATAGCGGTTCAGCAATGCAGAAACGGCCATTTAGCTAAACCATAAAGCTAATATTTTGTCCATTGCCATTTAGCTAAACCATAAAGTTTATATTTTGTCCATGTTATCAGGGACGGATACAGTGGGGGGCTGGACCGGGCTATAGCCCACCTCCCCCCCCCCCCCCAAGGCCCCCAAAAAAAAAATTGTAAGGGTTTTTCTTTTTCC